AGCATCTGGGGTCTTAAAGGCTTGAAGATAAACAAGTGGCCATCTAACTGAGAAGCAACAAAGCCCACATGGAAGAAACACACCAGCCTGTGTGATCACAAGGTGTCCATAGGATCAGGTATCAGGCATCAAAGACCCAGAAAAAATCATATCATTGTGAATGAGGGGGAGTGTGGAGTGGAGACCCAAAGCCCATCTGTAGACAACTTTCCTCTTGTCCCATTATCATGTTCAGCTTTCATATGGGTTTCAGTAATTCCTTTCGGTTACATTGCCCTTGATCAAGCCCTATCAGGCCTCCTACACCCTCCTAACCATCAATTTCTCAGTATTTTAACTATGATAAGAACTGTGCATAATGGGAACTGCTTAATTCCTTATATAAGGTCTTGATCAGTAACCAAACCACAAAAACAAACTCACTGCCATTGAGTCAATGCTGACTGATAGCACCACCCTTGTGGGTTTAAGAGACTGTAACTCTTTTTAAAAAAAACTAATTTTATTGAGGGTTCTTACAGCTCTTATCATAATCCATACATACAGTCATTGTGTCAAGCACATTTGTACATATGTTGCCATCATCATTTTAGAAATATTTTCTTTCTACTTGAGCCCCGGGTATCAGTTCATTTCCCCTCCTCCCTCTCCTCCCTCATGAACCCTTGATATATTTTTTTTCATGTCTTAACCGACCGCTGTCTCCCAACTAAGTTTTTTGTTTTTGTTTTGGTAACTCATAAAGTGAGTAATTCTTTATGAGAGTAGAAATCCCAGTCTTCCCACACCCTACCGCCATAGAGCCACTGGTGGTTTTGAACTGCCGACCAGGAGGATCACAGTCCAGCTCATAACCACTACACCACCAGGGCTCCTTTTTGATCAATAGTGTCTGTGTTATTAAAGCTTGGCTATGTACTCTTCTATACTGAACCTGCATGTTTCTGTGTGCATTGTCATCATTCAAATATTCTTAAAGCTACCTGAAATACTAGCTAATGCCTCCTTATTTTAAACCAGTATATAATTTGTTATATGGGTGGTACACATCAGGCAGGATGTATTTGGGCCCAGTTGCGTGTGTTAAAATGGCTGAATGAACAAGAAGTCAGTGGAGGGTAAGGTTCTCTTTCGTGAGTGCACTGAGACTTTTGACTTTATTTCTGGCATCTTATCTTTTTTTTTTTTTTTCAATCTTCTTACCTAGAGCCAAGAGTCTGCTTAATGATTACATATCTCCTTGCTTTCTTTTGTTTTTCTATGTTTGCTTGACAGTCTTACATCTTTCAGAATTTTAAGCCAATTGTAATTACTTTGAAGTCCAACTTCTGAATTTCCCTGGAGTCTATTTCCACACCTTCTGTTGACTGGTTATTTATTACTGAATGTCAAGCATATGGTAAAGAAAAGTTACAAAAATGAGTTGAAGCTCTTGATGAGACTCTCTTCGGAGGCTGCTTCCCTTTTGTCTTTGGCACATGGTAAGGGTAGAATCAGAGGGTGAGACTGCACTTGGAACCGGGGCACGCAATGCTGGAAAGCAGGGGGTTTTGAGAGGTGCTATGTTTCTCAGGTACTCTAATTTGTAGGACGTATCCATCCCTTTGGAAACCTAGCTGAAAGTTCAGGGGCCTTACAGTGGTTCTCCGCTCCCATGGCCACTGGCTCTCAGACACTCTTTAAAGTTCTGCTCAAATGCTATACTGTTCAACCAACCAGCTTCTTCTCAGCAAATGCTCAAAGGGAACAGTGGGACCAATTGTTGAGCTCACTACTTTGAACTTCAGTGAGATACTGGCCTTGCCTTACAAGTCTTTTCTTCCTTCTTAAAACACTGATGTCTGCAAATCTCTTTATTTTTTATCCATTTCGTTCAGCTATTCTCGTTAGCAGATTAGTCTGAAGCCAGCCAGTGTACCATGGCTGGAATGTGTTTCATAGCACTAATCATGTAAACACTACTTTCAAAAACACTCTGGGTAGCTTAGCATATCAATGAAAGTGAAAATTATCAATGAATATCCATAGCTCTTCTCATTTGATTTAGCAATGTTATTACAGTTATATTTTGAGTAGACAGAATGCTTGGAGTTAACTATACAGTAATCATGAACCCATATCTTTATTTACTCTCCATAATGACCTCTTATATTGCCTGACTTTTGGCATTGTTTTTATATAAAACATTTTTTAATGTCCACATGGACATTTGAATGGTATATGGGATGTGGGTCGATTGTATGAACCTGGGCAAGACAAGACAGAATATCTAGCGTCCCTGGTCCATTGACCAGATAGATGTATCCTCCCAATGTTTTTTAGCAATCAAAACTGTTTCCACGCATTCCAAAACTACCCTCTACGTCTCAGTATTAACTCTGCTCTACTTCGATCAACGAAATTCTACTGTAGATGTATAAAATTAACCCTCAAGACAATGCTATATTTCCCACACCTAGCAATTCCTAGAACCGTCCTAAAAATTAATAAAGAGCCCAGGACAAAAGTAAAGACGTCAACGCATGCCCTGAGGGATTTTCCTAGGTCTAGATGAGGTACTCACAAACGGACTGGATATTGTCTCAGTAACCATGCCTACAGGAGCCAGGGGGGCATAGTGGACTAGGCTGGGCTGCTAACTTCAAGGTCAGCAGTGTCAAACAAGTTGCTCTGAGGCAGAAAAATGAGACTTTCTAGCCCCATGGAGTTACAGTCTCAGAAACCCCTTTGGTCATTTGCACCCCCTTTAACAATCCCAAACTCACTGCCATCCAGTCAAGTCTGACTCATATGGACCCCATACGGCCGGGGTAAAACCACCTCTGTGGGGTTCCGAGACTGTAACTCTTTAAGGCGGAAGAAAGCCTCATCTTTCTCTCGCAGAATGGCTGGTGGTTTCTAACTGCTGGTTCTGCGAATCCCAGGCCAGTGTGTAGCTACCATGCCACCAGGGCTCTGAACCATCCTATAGGGATTTCCAGTTTAGAGATTAGGAAGCTGAGGTTTAGATGTGTTAAATGACTGGCAAAGAGTTTAAAATTGATAAGCCCTTCTGTGATGCCTGAGGCTTTCAGCTCTGTACAGATGGGTTGCCTCCTGCATTAGGCCGGTTTGACTACAGAAACATGCAGCGACACTCCTCCATAAGCATCCCAGCCCAACTCAAGTCCATAAATCGGATACGTCTGTAAGTCCCTCTTCAGACTCACACAGCCACACGCAATGATGCAGAGTGCAGGAAGAGCACAGGCGGGTGCGTGCAAAGCCCTGTGGATCCAATGACGGTGGCGCTGGCAGCCATCCGGGTCAGCCAGGTGGACGGTGAAGACCGAGATAGGGGAGTTCCCCAGAATGCTCCTTAGGAGATGGCGACTCCCGCGAAGGCAACATCAGGCTGTGACCTGATTGACAGGGTGAATACCATCCCTACACTATCACATCGCTTCAAGTTGACATGAAATGATGTCACTACCACAGCGCCCCTGCCAAAACAACAAAGACCGCAACACCGGATCAGAATAGCTTAAAGATGTAGCCCGGGGAGCTGACTACTGGCCAGAGTAGAGCAGCCTCACGGAGTTTCCTAGGCGGAAATCTTTATGGAGCAAAACAGGGTTTTTCTTCTGCAGAGCAGCTGGTGAATTCCAGCCGCAGACTGTGAGGCTAGGAGCCAAGCTGCGTTGCACGTGGTACACCAACAGGCCTCTTTGAAAGACAGGCCTAGGAAGCCTTAGCGCCTCGCTGGACTCCTGGTGTGGGGGGCCCTCATCTACCAACTAAAAGGGCCCAACTAAAAGGGCCGGGACTGGTGTCTCCCAGGGGAACTTTCCTACTCTATTGGTGAAAACTCAGCCATTGAAAAGCCATGGCAAAATAACCATACTTTATAAATTATCAAGGGTCATGAGGGAGGGGAAAAATGAGGAGCTGCTACCAAGGGCTCAGGCAGAAAGCAAATGTTTTGAGAACGATGATGGCAACACATGTCCACATGTGCTTGAGACAATGGATGGACGTGTAGATTGTGGCAAGAGTTGCACGAGCCCCCAGTAAAATGATTTGTAAAAGAAAGCCCTAAGGACCACAGTTCAACTCTGACGCCCAGGGCATTGCTTTGAGCCGGAGGGCACCTTCAGCAACTGTCTAAATACAGAGCTAAAGGCGAGGCTTTGGGCTCTTATTAACCAGCTGCCGTCTGGCAAACCCGCAAGGGCAGTTCTACCCTGTCCCATGGGTGGCTAGGAGTGGGCATTGACTGGAGGGCAGGGAGCTTGCTTTCCTCGTGCTCCCCGCTTCCCCGTCCTCGGCTGACGCCCAGGGCATCCCATCCCTGCCGCTGGATGGTCAGTCCTCACTGCCGGCTGCCCGGTCCAGTTGTGGGTCCCAGCGGTCCAAGCACGTCTTTTCTCCACAGCCAGGCCACTCTGCAAAGCACTTCTGCCCACCCTCTCGCTCCATCTGCTCGCAGCCACCAGCCTAGGCGTCCCTTTCGCAGCCCAGTGGCCCTCCAACTCACTCCCGGCCAAGGAGGAGACTGGACTCACAGTGACTCCCCGGAGGTCAAGGGAGAGCTGCTCCCGCGGGTTTCCGGGGCCGACACTCACTCGTGACTGCGGCAGAAAGCCTGCTCTCTCTCCCGGGCGGGGGTTTCCCACGGCTGAGCGCGCGGCGCCCACCCGCCGAGCCCCCGGAGTCGGGGAGACTGCGCTGGCTGCTGCGCCGGGGCGCGCGTGCCCGCCCCCAGCGTGCGTGCCACCCGGGAGCCCAACGCTCCCGTGTTCCCTTAGCAACCAGTCCGCTGGTGCTAGTACAAGTCAGAGAGGCGAGGGCAAGGATGTGTTTCCTCCGGATGGGTGAGTGTCTGTCCAGCCGCCTGGGGTCAGGGCAGCAGGGAGGAGAAGGCTGGGAAGCCGGCCAGATGAAGGGAAAGACAAGGCTGATCGTCGGCCTCCTTGCAGTTGGTTCTGTTTTGTTTTTGTTTGGTTTGCTTTTAACCGCAACAGAGTGGGGCCCTGGCCTCAGCTGCACACTCACCCCCAAACACCTCCGTTCCCCCAAAGCAGGAACGTAGCCCGAGGTAACGTCCCTCACTAGGAGTTTCTCCTCTTTCTTGATCTTCAGAGACGCTGGCTAACTATTGCTTTGGAACATGTGGAACGAGGAAAACCTTTCCCGACTACATTCCCTCAGACTTAATGGGGATCAAGTTTCTCCCGGGGAGGGGAGCTCCCCACAGAGGACCTGGCCTTTACATGGCAGAAGATGTAAGTATTTACTTCCTCATAGGGGGGGCTCGCTTCCTTTGGCTGTTTAAAGACACCCAAGTTTCTTGGAAGACAGTCTCTAGGAGGGTTTGCCAGCTTCGGGGTTCCCAACATGAGAATGTGTCCCGGACTCCTACAATCAGTTCATTATCTGGGGCCAGAGTCAGCGTCCGGGACGATTGCTCCCCCTTTCATGCTCCACCAAATGCAAACCTTTGCCTCATATAACTAAAACAAACAACAAAGTCATTGCCATTGAGTGAATTCAGATTCAGAGACCTTATGGAAGGTCCCCGGGGCTCTAACTTTTTTCAGGAGCACATAGCTGCCTCATCCCATGCCTTGGTCTGCAGGTGGGTTTGAACCACTAGCCTTGCAGTTGGCACTCCAACGCTTACCCAACAGCACTACCAGGGTTACTTTTGCCTCCTTTCTGTCCCCAGGATATCCCCCACTCCGTTGGCACCTCCAAAGACCACTGGGCCAGTGCCAGTTACCCTCCCATTATTTCCAACCTATACTGTTGGCATATAGGGAAGCAGATTTATGATATAACATGATAGTCGCTGACATTTGCGTTAGAACTTCCCATGTGGTCCCTTGCATCTCAAGACAGCTTTCGTTGGAATGCACAGAAATGTTGCTTACCCTTCCTGCCCGGCCCTATGCCTTTGCAAAGTCACCGCGTTATTTGCATAATTGTGGGGTGTAGTGCTCAGACAAGAAAGAGCAATTTCTTGCAGAGAGGGCTCAGATAGGCCATTCCAGGTTCCACTACATGACGGCTGTAACCTTCTCTCTGTATTTTTCCCCATGCATTTGTTTTGATATATTCTACCGGAAGAAATATAGCTTCGTGTACAACCTCTCTAAGATCCCAACCAGTAAAAAAGGATACGCTTTTGGAGCCAGAACAAGCCCGAGGTTTCAACCCATCTACAAGGTTAGAAACGGCTGCGCATGCGCAGATTTTGATGTGGGCCTTCTTGCCGGTCTTTGTAATGGCAACAACCGGGGCTGAGGGGGGAGGCTATCTAAAAGAATATGCCCAGTAGTCATGTCCAGTTGTCTGGGCTGCCTTAGGGAAGCTCCTGGGCCGATCTTATGAACTCCTCCTCTACCACAATATGCATATCCCTATTAGGGCCGGGGCTCCGAGGTTTTCATCCCACCTGTAACTGTGATGTATTGATCTGCCACCAACCACACATTTGTGATAGCTCTCCTGGGCCCTCATGCCCTTGTAAAAGTGCGGTGTATCAGCAAGCCCCTGCACTCCACGATGGCCTCAGACTAAGTGGCCCCTCGTCTGGATAATATATCTCTGGCTTGCTCTTGTCCTGTTTACAACTTTATAAAACGCCTTCCTGAGAAAAGAAGAAATAGCGGAAAGCAATGAGCTCAATCGTATGAGGCACGTGAATGGACTGAATAATCCCTTATGAGAGAGGTTGTGTGGTGAGAGAGAATAACGCCATGTGAGAGATTCTTGTGTTGCCCATAGATACTGGTCTCATTAATGTATCACCAGTGTGCCTCGTTGTTCCCACGTTAAATGATAGAACAGTAGATGCAGGATGAGTGTGATAGGATGACTCAGGACAAACAAGTGTCAAGTTCATGTATTCTCCGTTTGTTTTTAATAGTACCAACAGCTTCAGAATCACAACCACCTCTTGAAATACGTTACAAGTTCTCTGTTTCTCAGAAAAAAGCCAAAAATCAAACTCGCTGCCCTCGAGTCAATGCTGATCCATAGCATCCTCTAGGGCAGGGTGGCACTGTCCCTGTGGCTTCTGTAACTCTAACTCTTTCTGGGAGTGGAGCGTCTCATCTTTCCCCCACCGAGGAGCGGCTGATGTTTTCTGAACTGCTGACCTTGACATTAGTTGCCCAGTGTGTAACTGCTATGCCACCAGGGTCCAATCCCACTATATTAAGAAAAACCAAAAGAGGGATCATTCCCTGAAATTCAAGCAAGGTGGGCAGTTAGACAAAAGCTATTAAGGCTATTGTGTGACAAATGTGGATCTGAGTATTCGGGGATGGGATGATTGCAAAACAATTCATGGGAAGACATCATCCCCAAACAGGTCTTTGTTAGTGAGGCACCTGAGGATATATAGAAAGCTATGTTAAAGACATTGAACTCTCTTGTTAGTCAGAAAACAACTCCAACATGTCCATTCTTTTGTGCGACTGAATCGCAAGCCTAAAAGTAGTCAGCATAGGATCCTAAAGGTAGTGTAAATAGATTATATTGAACTTTTAACATAAAGGTTGGCAGTTCTAACCCACCCAGCCATGCTATAGGTCAAAGACTTGGTGATCTACTTTCATAAAGATTACAATGAAGAAACCCCTAAGAGGAAGTTCGACTCTGCCACACATGGACTCTTCTCTATCAGACAATTTCCTACCACTTTAAGCTCAGGGAATGAGGCAGCAGGAGTGAGGCTGGCCCTAAAAATCTCTGAGTGGGGCTATAAGGCTGAAAACTACCCTCCCCCCCTCCACCCCATGTATAGTGGCTACAAGTAGTTACGTAGGCATTCTACCGACCCGGGTTTATTTCTAAATCCCCAGCATTTTATGTTTTTAGAGAACTGAATTATACCCATAGCTTGATTTTTCTACCTATCCTAGGCCTATTTTGTTCTAAAGCTTCAGGTGGCTGAACCGAGAATGATTCTGATTTTTTTTTTTTGAGAAGACTTTATGCACAGATGTATCACCCGACACATGGTGTTGTTCTTTTCCTTGGACGCAGGTTTCATCGATTTACCCAGGCATGTACCAGAAGATACAGGATCCAGAAGAAAAACACAAGCAATCTTTTGTTTCGTTTAACACCATGGCGCCTCGGTTTAGGAGGATGGATTTAGGAGGGGACTTTCCTCCTGGGTAGGTCGCCTGTCCCTGGTTCCCGGTCACAGAAAGCCGTAGACAACGACCCCTCGCCCTTTACAGATGTGTCCTCTGGCTCCCTAGGTCTCTGCCATTGTAGAATCGTAGACTCCAAGTCATTCGTTCAGTATTAATGTGCCAAACGCTTGTGTAGGTTTCAGAGATTTAGCCGTAAACCTTGATATCACATTCCTGATTTCTTGGAGTTTACCTTCGGTGCGAAGCAAACACCGATGCAGTAAGGAACGACTACGTAGTTTAGTAGCCACACTGGGAAACTTCTGAACGTGAATGGGAGCCTTGCTAATAACTCTGCCAGGACGGTCACTGTAAGCTAGACCTGCCGGGGGACAAACCAGGAAGTACAGGGCCCTAGACTGCGGTGCGCTCTGAGGACCATGGAGCAGGATGACGGGATGATGGCGGGTGGGGGCAGCAAGGATTGTCAGCAGAGATCTCTTTGAGGAAATGACTTGTGATCTGACATCTGAATCACAAGAATTAGACAGTCCTATGAAGAGCTAGAGCAGAGCTTACCCAGCAAATGGAGCAATAGGCGCCGAGGCTGGAAGCTTGAAAGGAATTTGGTGTGCAGCACAAAAGAGAGCATTATACAGCCAGAGCGTGGGGATGAAGGAGGAGGTGAAACCCAAGCAGGAGGCCTGGTACAAATCATGTGGCCCTTGCAGGCCAAGGGGTTGAATCTACATGTTTTAGGGAACCATTTAAGATTTATGGAATTATAGGGAAGGGTCAAGGTCTTTGAGGAGAAATCTGGGGCTCAGAGAGTGTGTAATGTTCTCAAGATTCCATTAAGGAGATGTAGTGTGAATTCTGACATACACCCCATGCGCACTCTTTCCTCCACACCCAAGAGTTTTCACTAAAAGACCAAGTATCATTCACAAAGTCTGTCTTAAAATAGTGCCATCAGCTAGAAAATCTACCTGGTTCTGCTTTGCTGTGCTTGGTGGAACTTTTCCACTGCTAATAGTAGACTAAATTAAGGCCTCACCTCCACCCCCTGTCTCTGATCATAGGTAATGCTAACTGCCGTCAGCCTCTCTCATGATCCGTCCCTCTGGGATCTTCTGGTCTCTCAGCGAGGCATACTGAATTGCAAACATATTTTGAAACTGGGGTCAACCTTTACCCTAGCTAAAGTCAAAACTGGATATGGTTTCTCTTTTTCATTGGGGCTTTAACAAGCAGATGTCTATTTTCTCATGGTTTGAATTCAGGGTAGTGACTGCTAGGGAAGGCTTTCTTTCCCAGTTCTCTCTGGAGAAAGGTCTCCTTTTAAAAGCTATGGGCCAAGTGCTCCTGGGAAACTGATGGATCTTAGCATCACTTTTCCCCTGGAAGACTAGGTGTCATCAACAACTACTTCGAAACCCACTAACAGGCAAATGGACCTTCTGTCTGTTGAGCATTAAACCAAGGGGGGGTGAGGGTTCAGGGGAAGGGTATGGTGATGGTGGGATTGGTGGATGGACATGGATTCATTAGGTGATGTTTTTATTTTTATTTTAGCCCTGGCACATACAATGTAGAGATGAAACCACCCAAAAAAGTTGCTTGGCCAATGAAATTTGGATCTCCAGACTGGGCTCAGGTCCCGTGTCCACAGAAAAAAACCCTGAGAGCAGAGGTAACACGATTGGCTCTCTGGGCTGTGGTGCTGGCTTGGGGGAGGAGTTCTCACTGTGCATAATGGGTTCCCAGCAGCGGTAGTTCAAGTGCAGCCCTCACTGGTCGTCATTGGGGGCAGGAGGTAGGGGTGGGATCAAAAAGGTCGGATCCGGTTGTGCCTGGGCTCCCCAGAGTCAGGAACTTACTGACTGGCAACAAGCAGCAGCTACAGAGCCCTTTGTCAAATATTTGACTGTCTATTATAAGAGTTAACCAGAAATCTGTGGATGAGCTTCAGGAAGTCCGTGAACCCTTAGAGGTATATGCTGAATTTTATATGTGGAAGCATATGGGAATCTTTTTGGAGAGTTGCACAATTTGATCAGATTTTTCAAGGCATGTATGACATAACAAAGGTCGCATTGTTTATTTGATCTTCAAAATATCTTCTGTGGTAGAGAAGGATCCTTGTGCGACCGGAAGTAACTGAAGCTCAAATGGATTAAGTGGTCAGTGGAGGTTGCATAATTCAAGTTCACTGTGGCTTCTCATTCAGTGCTCTGTCCATCGCATCCCGAGAGGGTCAGATTGTCAGGGAGCGCTACAGCAGTGGTTCTCAACCTTCCTAATGTCACAACCCTTTAATACAGCTCCTCATGTCGTGGTGACCCCCAACCATAAAATTATTGTTGTTGCTATTCAATAACTGTAATTTTGCTGCTGTTATGAATTGTGATGTAAATACCTGATATACAGGCAATATTAGGCGCCCCCTGTGAAAGAGTCGTTTGACACCCAAGGGGTCTCGACCCACAGGTTGAGAACCGCTGCTCTAGAGCACTCCGGCTAAGACCATCAAGTCTGGTGATAGACTTCCTGTATTTACTAGCTTCGGTATTTGCTTGCTGTGTGATCCTGAGCAAGCCCCTTAACTTTTTGAAGGCTCAGTTTTCTTATCTGTACAAGTATAGTGCCATCTATCTGATAAAACTGTGGAAATTAACTGGGGCAACGAAGCATTTAGCACAGCATATAAGTGAAATACTCAATCCATACTCCAAGAAAAAAACAAACTCACTGCCATTGAGTCAGTTCCTACTCATAGTGACCCTAGTGGACAGGGTGGAACTGTCCCTGTGGGTTTCAGAGACTAACTTTTGACAGGAGTAGAAAGCCTCATCTTTCTCCCACAGAGCAGCTGGTGGTTTCAAACTGCTGACTTTGCAGTTAGGAACCCAATGTGTAACCATCATAATATTCCAGAAGTGCCCATTGTTTCCCCAGTGAATACTGGGTTAATTTAGCAAGTGTTTATTAAATACACAATAAAGCTCTGGTGTGAAGTGGGTTAAATGTTGGCCTGTTAACCACACAATTGGTGGTTCAAACCTACCAGCTGCTCCACAGGAGAAAAATGAGGCTGTTTACTTCCTGTGTTAGTCTGCGTGGACTAGAGAAATAAATCCAGGGAGACTCATATGTGTATAAGAAAGAGGCTTTATATACAAGAGCAATTGAGTATTGAGAAAACATCCCAGCCCAGTCTAGATCAAGTCCATAAGTCCGATATTAGCCCATATGTCTGATACCAGTCTATAAAGTCCTCTTCAGACTCAAATGAAACACATGCAATGGCACCAAATGCAGGAAGATCACAGGCCAGTGGGTGGGAAGTCTTGTGGATCCAGTGGTGGTGTAAGCATCTCAGCGCTGGCAGCGGGGTCCCCATGTGGCTTCTCCAGCTCAGGGCACTAGCGCAGCTCCTTGTGTCTTGTCAGCTGCTATGTCTCCCAGGGAGTGATCCTGTGTCCTGCCTCCAACAAGCTATCTCTTTAGCACCTCCAAATGAGGTCATCAAGCTGTGACCTGATTGACAGGCCAAACTCCTCCCCTTCACTCATAGGTCTCAAATTGACAATAGATTATGTAACTACCACACTTCCATAAAGATTTACTGACTCTGAAACCCTATGGAGCAGTTCTACTCTGTCCTGTAGGATTGCTGTGAGTCAGAATCAACTTAATAGCAATGGGTTAGTTTTTGTTTTTAATGTATCAACAGGATTGTACTAGAACCTTCAGGTGACTTTCAAAATTTCAATGCATTCTTTTTGTCTTCAAGAAGCATGCCAGCTCTTTGGAGACAGAATTTGTACACAGAATTAGCAATTCCTAGCATGGTATAAGCCAGAATGAGAGAGTAACAAGTGGCTAAACATGCAAATGGGAAACATCCAGAAGACTAGAATACTATGGGTCCCTGAGTGGTACAAACTGCTAATGTGCTCCTCTGCTGAATGCAAGGTTTGCCGGTTCAAGTTCACCCACAGGCACCTCAGAAAAAAGGCCAGGTGGTCTACTCCTGAAAAGTCAGCCACTGAATTCCCTATGGGGCATAGATCCCTTCTGGCACACGTGGGTCACATGAGCAAGCGCCAGCTCAGTGGCATATGATATAACTGGTAGATTATTGCTGGTTAGATTTCAGCGGGGTCTCCAAGTTAAAATGGACAGTTGGTGAGTGGGGCGTGGAGTTTTCATTATACTAATGAGCTAAACTATGTTCTTTCACTGCAGCTGACCACAGACAAAGACTTTAGAAAGCACCGGAACCGCGTGGCCTACCTAAGTTTGTATTACAATTGAGAGGTGGTGACTGCATTCATGGGCATCCTTCTGGCCACGGAACTTCCAGGATTGGGGACACTCACTTTTCTCTCGGTGTGCATCACCATGGCCCTAGTGTCTGCTAGCACAGGGTCTGGGAAGGGAGGGATTTATCTCTGCCGTGCAAGAGTATTAAAGCCAGCTCAAGTTGTTCGATCTTCATGTGCTCATTTGCAGTGCGGACGTGAGGAGCGGAGTCCTGGAGTGTGGGCTGGTTGTTCAGTGGGGTTGGCGGTTCAGTGAAATACTGATGGGTCCCGTGCTCTAGCTCTGACTCCCACGTTCAACTTTCTATGTTCTGCTTCTAACCCTGGCCTGAGGACGCTGTTAGCTTAGCGCAAGCAAAGTCAAAAGTATTGCTAGGAAATCATAGAAACCCTTATGAGACGCAAACAAAAGATGAAGCTATGGTTTGTCCACATGGCCTCCATCTGGGTCTATATACTTCTGATGGTGGTGTTTTCTCTCTCAACCCTCCCCAGAGAATTGTGCACTCCAAGAGCCCTGGAGGTGTAGTGGTTAGGAATTGGACTGTGAGCTTCAAGATCGGCAGTTTGAAACCACCAGCCCTCTGGGGGAGAGAGAGCTTTCTATTCCCCTGAAGAGCTATCATCTCGGAAACTCAACAGGGGCAGCTCTCCCTGTCCTATACGGTCCCTCCGAGTCGGCACCGTCTCGGTGGCAGTGAGTGTGGTTAGGGTGTGGATTGACACCACATTAAAACCACAGTTTGGGCATCCTGGAAGGACCCACGCTTCTTCTAAATGTTCTTTAAGTTTCTGGAACAAAAAAGTCTCAAAGGGCAATGCCAGGGCTTCGGGGTGGATGGGGTCAGGCTTCTCAAAGAACTATTCATGGGACAGCCCCTGAAGAATGAGCAGGTGCATTATCATGATGGGCAAAAATTGCTCAGGACAACCTTCTGGGCCTTTGGTAATGCAGTCTTTTACAATGCAGCCTTCCATTTTCCCAGAATGTCTCTCCAATAAGTCCCCATGTTTGTCCTTTGGAAAAAACGGCCCAGATGACCCCTCTGGAATTCCAAACAACATTTGCCAGCACCTTCTGAGCTGACTTCTTTGTCTCAAAGTTAACTGGCCAAGCATTTCCCCTTGGAAGCCGCTGCTCTGACTGGAGCTTTTTTGAAGGCACCTTAATCAGACTAAGACGTGTATTGCTGGGAGAACTTGTCTGTAGCCGTCCAGTGACTACGCAGGCATGCGTTTTGTTGAAATAAACCCATGCAGGTGTGCACTGGAATCCCAGTTACACTATTAGCGTTTTTTAACTCACCCTTGTACCTACCAAGAGTTTCCGTGAAAAGCGACCTGTCTTTTGCATCTGGACTTGTTAGGTACAACCGATGTTTCAGGAGCCCTTCCAGGTGGGTGAGTCCTCAGCACCAAGCGAGAAAGTCCTGGTTTCACTGAGCTTTCAAAATTAAAACTCGCGGAACCAAAAATCTGCTCCCCTCTTTCCATTACATTATCTATTTGACCTGTCAGTCAATATATATGAGGGGGATTCAAAAAGTTCATGGAAGATGGAATTAATAGATAATGGAGGGATGGCTATGGAAGATCATAGGGTAAACCTGATTTTCAGGGTTAAAACCTTGTCAGTTGATCCCCACCTCTGATGCACTTAGGCCTGACCTGGGTCTCAATATTTTCTGTATTTTTTTGGTTTTTGTTTGTTCAGATTGGGGTTATCTCAGGTGTGTTGTGTCATTGGGTCACCCTCTTGAATTTTTGTTATGTGTTCTTTTCTGTTTTTCAGTATATGAAACCCAGAATGGCTGAACCTGTAGGGACAGCAAATAGAATAAGGGTTTCTGGGGCAAGTACAGTGGTAGTGGGGGTGGTGGTGGGGTATGATAAAAGGGAACTGATGTCAAGAGTTCAGGAAGGAAAAGAAGGTTTTGAAACTGATTGTGGTACAATACTGCTGGGTATGATTGAACTGTGGAATGATATGTCTATATTAATTTCAAATAAAATGCTTTTTTAAAATAATAATAATAGAACCTAGGGCTCTGAACCACTGCTATCAATTTGTTGCACTGTGGTGGCTTGTGTGTTGCTGTGATGCCAGAAGTTATGTCACTGGTATTTCAAATGCCAGCAGGGTCCCCCAAAGTGAATAAGTTTTAGCGGAGCTTCCAGACTAAGAAGAAGGAATCCATGCAACATTGTCAAAGATGGAGGCCTCGTGAATGGCAGCAGAACAGTGTCGAAGACAGTGCCAGAGGATGGGCCTCTGCGGTCAGAACTGACAGGCACTATGGCGCCTAACGACTTAACAAGTGCTCTGAGAAGGATCACTTGAGAGAGTTCTAGAAGGAAAGTAGCCCAGGGCCATAGTGAGCTGCGCACAAAACTGCTAACCATAAGGTCATTGGTTCCAACTCACAAGCAGCTCCCAGAAAGTACGATAAATGTTCCCATAAAGATTTAAAGTCTCTAAGATTCAAGGGGACGGTTTTAGTTTGCCCTGTAGGATCACTATGAATTGGAATTAACTAGATGGCAGCGAGTTTGGTTGGGGCTTGGATAGAATGGGATTAAAAACATGGAACAAAATTCAAAATCACAAAATAAGACCAAGTTTACTGGCCAGACAGAAACTAGTGGGGACCCCCAAGATTACAACCCTAGTCTTCCTTCAGGCATGGAACTGAACTCCCTCCGGCCCTGTATTAGGATAATCAAGCATTTAAGATCAAAAGGTCACCATGACCCAAGAAGAGGGGTGAGCACCGAAGGAGAGGAGGAGGGAGGAAGCAGGAAATGAGGGAAGGAGTGGCAGCAAGCTGGGACATTTGAGGGGAGTGCAGTGCGTGCCGGGAGCCTATGTGGGTATGGACTGTCGAATGTCAAATGGCTGATCTGTTCTGTAAACTTTACCTCCTTCAAAAGAAAAAGTTGAAAAATAATCAAATAAATCCACAGAAAGGGGATGGAATTTTCCCACAAACTATTTGGAATGCCTAATATTTATTGCATCTCTACCGTGTGCCAGACAGACTATTAAGAATTGGAAATAAAGCAGCAATCCAAGTAAACTCATCTACTGGCTTCCCAGAAACCTGCAGTGTGAGGGCCTCCCAGCCCCCATGCCATCTCCCCCACCCCCACCCCCACCACCCCCGAATGCCTGGTGGCTTGGACCTGCCTCCCTAATCTCAATGGCTGTCCAAAGCCTCATGTCCCCAGGTGTGAAAGTCAGAAGTCACAGCAGCCACAGAGTCGTTGTCCAGATATTCTGGCCGGGGAGATTCATCCCGTTCCTTCAACATTAACTGAAGTCAGTGGAGTTCCTCCAGGATGGGCACTGTGCATGGTCTACTTTATATTTCTGTGGCTAGGGCTTTGGGTCTTTACTTAGGCTTCCTAGGATTACCAAGAAGGTAGCAAGTCTCCCTCTATCGCGATACCAAAGAGTGAGAAGCTGCAGAAAATGCCTGCACTTTGTCACTCCTGGCTAATTTGCAGGCCCGTGGGGCTCTAGCAGGAGTCCTGGTGGCATGTTGGTGGAAGCACTGGGTTTGAATTCGTGACTCTGGCCCACTGCAATCTCAAAGGCCACTCCATGGTAACTGGTAACTGGAAGAAGAGAGGGGGGCCTCTTGAATCATGGGACCTAATTCCTTCAGGGCACAGTCTTCGGACATAAGCAGTGAAGAGTGAAAAAGTCTCTATTGGGAAACATTAATTGGAATATTAAGAGAATGCGAGAGATGCCTCCGGTTAAAACTTTTACCCAATAAATGCAGTCCTGTTGCCATAAAGTGGACTCAGGGTGACTCCTGGTGTAGCATAATAAAACCGTACCACTTACATACTCGGGGATTGACACATTTTATTTCTATTATCTTTTAATATATTTTATTTTGGTTATAGTTTAATCTGATGGCTTCTATTATCTTGTCAGGAAGAGTTTATGACTTAAGATAAGTTGGGATTAATATAACACTCCTCTCACACCCCTCTAACTCTTTTCTTTCTTGCATCAATTGTGTATGTATGGGAGTTAATTTAGCATGGATTATCTTTTTCTGACTCTGGGCTCTTTCATTGGAAGATGTCAACGGCCAGAGAAGATCTTTTACACTGGTGTTTGGCACATGCACTCAAGCTCTTTCCCAGGGAAGGGAATTCTAATTCTATTTTCCAAAATAAGACTCTGATTTGATTTTTTTTAAATAAACTTTTCATATGTCTTCGGTTACCTTTCAGGCTGTTTTAAAATTCTAAATCGGATGCACAAGCACTTTCTGAACACTCACTGCGACTGAGTAGATCCCATCTCATAGTGAGCCTGTAGGCCCGAGTAGAATTGCCCCCTGTGGGTTTCTAAGACTATTACTCTTTAGTGGAGTAGAAAGCCCATCTTTCTCCCTTGGAGTGGCTGGTGGTTTTGAACCACTGACCTTGTGGTTATCAGCCCAATGCATAACCCCACACCACCATGACCATTTTAGAGGGTGCAAATGAATACAAAGAACAACGCATGCTGTGTCACGTTTATTTTACATCTGGCTTTGGTTCAAGAGGTTAGCCTTTCTTTTAGGTCTCATTAGAATAAAATCGTATTGTAATGGTATTTTAGGAAGGCAGAGTCTCAAGCGACAGATTGATATAGCACATAGACTCCGTGAAATCGTTGGAGGATGTGGTAGGACATGCAACACACGAGACTCTGTGACAGAGCATGGTGTTACCACACTTCTCATTTAAGGCCAGTTACAACACTTGCAGTTCTCATCAAAAATCAGTCCTTGGGCACACTGGAGGTGGAAGGTGTTGCCTCCAGCACACTGGTAGAATTTGGTGTTATCTTCGGGATCACTATAGGTGCCATCTGCTTTGCCAGAGCAGAAACTTCCATCTCCTCCACTGCCGCCATCCCCACCACCTCCACCACCGCTGCCGCCATCCCCACCGCTGCCGCCACCTCCACCAATGTTGGCACAGAACCCTTCGCTTCTTGGCATCATGGGTTGGTTATACCACGTCTTAGTGGCTGGTGGAGTACATGCTAAAGGGATAAAAAGAGTAGAACATTCAACATAAGCTACTTTTTGAAATGTAGAAGCAACAGGGTATAGAAACGGCCCGATATCAATTCTGTTCTCAAAAAAACTTGAACCCTGAGAGGGTTCCAAGCTGCAGTTGGTAAGAATTCCACAAGGAGACCAAAGGTCAAAGCAGCAGGGAGGAGGACCGGGACCCCTGAAGTGCTGGTAACACGGCAGCCCTGGGGTTCTCTTCCAGCTCCACTCTGGGAAAATGGGAGCGACGCTGCAGTGCTAGCGCAAAGGGCTTTGTCTGTATTTATCACATGTTTACTTGGGTTTGCGTCACCTTCTATGTCTCTTTACTAGTCAGTTTTCAACATGGTTGATTTGCTCCTGTGTTCTTCCTCTGGTGATTCAGAAGTTTATTTTACTACTTAGGAGCCCATGGGCTCAAAGCCACCACCAAGCTGCTGCTCGGGAGAAAGATGAGACTTCCAGCTCTCACAGCGCATTACCACCTCAGAGACCCCAGAGAGCGTCATCATGAGTCCGGTTTGGCTGGGCGGCCATGAGTGAGCTCAACTACAGGCTCACACATAACAGCTGTCAGGATGATGCAGATCCGGCAGCACCCCGTTCTGTCGCACATGGGGTCGCTAAGAGATAGCCAACTCAGTGGCTAACAAACAGCTCTCAGCCACTAGAATTTGTTGGCTCTGGCTAGCTGTCAATTTGAACAAGATAATTTTATAATCATCCCTTGCAGATTTTTACAGTTCTAACAATTAATGATTCTAAGAATCTACTTAGAGTGGATTCTAAGGATCTCATAATATCAGACATCCTCTACTGTTCCACCTTTGTTTTTAAGCAAGCCCCCAGGGATGCTCAAGCAAGGAATGGGTGAAGACCACAGGAGGAACAGAGGTTTCTTTCGTCCACAGCCTGCTGAGTTAACTGACTGAGATGAATTTCTTTTCCTGCCCTTCCACGTGACCTCCCTCCGATCCTTCCCATCAGCAACCATCCCATGAAATCTATGCATCTGAGGAAGGATCCCTGGTTGGTTGGTTTCTGAGTTAGAGCATGGGATGCTGCATTGGGAGGAAGGTGGGCTAGCTTAGAGACGCATGTCGGTGCATATACCTGATTGACTTTCTGAATAATGAGCTTCCCTAATGTGCTGTGCCTTAGGCATTGAGTTGCTAACCTCTCTGCCATTGGGGCTCCTTGCCATCAAGTTGTTTCTGGCCCACGGCATCTGCGTGAGTATCTGAGTAGACCTGTTTTCATGGGGTTTGCAGTGGCTGAGCTTTTTTAAAGGTAGGTTGTTCGGCCTTTCTGCTGAGGTGCCTCTGTGCAGAACCTCCAACCCTTTCAGATTGCAACCAAGCACATGGACAGCTGTTGACACCAACAAAGGACTCTTCTAGACTATTGGGACTCAAGGGGTTGCTATGTCAGAGCTGTTGAATGTAACCCTGGCCCTGTAGCTGGAAATCAGATTTCTGATAAAGGCATTTTCTATCACGTGCCTCGTTTGCATACATGTGAGGGTCTTGAAGTTCTATCGCTACCTCCATGCACACTGCCCCCACTATGTTTGCCTTTTTTATTTTTTTTGAGGCTCGGTCTGCATCTTCTGTAGCACAAAGCATCTAACCCAGCAGCGACATACGTGAGGACAGGTCCAGAAGTGACTTCAGCTTGTTGATGAGTGGGTGTTTGCCCTCATTGCAGAAGGAGCCTGAGAAGTCATCCAGATCAATGGCCCAAACCATGGCCCCGCCAAATTTGTTCTCCTTGAGAAAGTCAACCTGTAGACAGCAAAGAGTGTTTGGCAACCAGAACCAGGTAGACTCCAGGCAACGAGCGGGCAGTCGGATGGAGCTGCCAGGTGAGAGTAGGAGGGAGCTGTTGGTGATGCTGAGCCCTCTCAGTTGTATGAAACTACATGTGCCTTTTGGACTTAAAGCATATGATGGACCAGCTCAGCTCAGTTTTTCTTTATCCCAGCTGACAAACCCTTGGGTATCAATAATGAATAAAGGAAATATTTATGTCTTGATCCTTCTGGATGAATCATGCTTTATACTTAATCCCCACGTGAACACAGTATTTTTTCACAGCTTTATTTCAGACCCCAGGGGTTTTGAACCAAGTGTATCTGACGTCAGAACGTGAGCTTTAATAATTGCATCTTACAGCCTCTGTCTTCCTCCCCCTACGACTTTCCTTCTAACTTGTGTGAGGCACCTTTTATTAGGGACCTGTGACTAGTCGCAGAATCGATGATTCTTAGCTAAATACCCACCCAGGGAGGAGGCTGTTTCCTACTGTGTAGAATCAAATATGAAGTGATTAAAACATTCAGATAAATATGCAAAGATTATTATTATTGGCATTCGAGATGATGGCCTCAGGCCAACCTTACTACCATTCATGGCAATTAATAAAAATTCCTGTGGGATAAAAATAAAATTTAATATGAGCCCTGGTGGTTACAAGTTGGCTACAATCCACAAGGCTGGTGGTTCAAAACCACCAAACACTCCAGGGGGGAAATATGGGGCTTTCTACTGCTGTGAACAGTTCCAGTCTTGGAAACTCTACCCTCCCCTATTGAGTCACTACGAGTCGACATGGACTTGGTGGCAGTGAATTTGGTTGGTTTGAGTTTTCACTAAGCATTTTTTTATACCCTTCTTTATGGTCACTGACAGGATGTTGTTGTATTGTACGTAGATGAAATAATTCATGTACTCAACCCTCACCATTGTTGGAAACTTATGTGGTTTCCAGTTTTTCACTGTGCTGCAACCAACATATTTATCTTTTAAAATATTTTAAATCATATTAGACTATTTCAATATATGTCCATCTATTATGGCATATATGTAGCATCGGATTATTAATGTTAAATCATATTTAATTTTATTGCTTTTCCTTTGGAGGAAAGATAAGTCATATTAAGGTTAATCTACGCTCTACTATGTATGTTTAAAATCTTAAAATCACAGATCTTAGTAAACCGGCTTCTGATGAACTCAAGACTCAGGGACAGAATGCTTATTTCTTACAAAAATTAAGTATGTACCTTATACTCAAAGCTCTTAACATTGTCGTAGCCAATCCACTCAGTCCCTTTGTAAGCATATGGAACCTTCTGGTCTTCAATCCAGGCACTTGTAGCTCCACTTAAGAAAGTGCAGATCTAAGGGGGGAATTGAGAAGGCAATGATGAGCACATCATAGAGCATGAGAGGAGCAAGAACTTGAACCAGAGGAAAAACAAAAAGAAATGGGAAGGGTGAGCAAAGGAGGACAATATGGAGTCTACATGAATTATGCATTTTCAAGAAAGTGATTTTCTTCCCCAACACACACAAGTTTCTACACAAATTAGGCTCTTAAACATAAAAGGGATGTTCTAATTCAGTTCAAAGAGGTTATTTAAGAAATGACAGATAGAAGCATCCACTACCCATCTGTTCAATTGTGGGGGGGGTGACATGCATGTGGTTCTGATGTTGGAACCTATACCATTACTATTTCAAATACGTACCAGCTGGATGACACCTGGTGGGCAGGTTTCTGCACAACTCCCCGAGTAAGAGAGCCAAGGAATAAAAGCCTGATGATCTATGTCTGAATATTAGCCAATGAAAATGCAGAGCATAATGCTGGACGATGAGACCCCCTGCATTGGAACACACTCAACAGAGGCAGAGGCAACGGCAATGGACTTGAGCAGACTGCTGATCAAGAAGATGGCGCAGTGCTGGGCAATGTTCCACTTGGTCAGCCGAAGTCGGAACCTGCTTGGCAGCAATTAACAACAAGAAGCCTGACCACACATGTGCTAATCTTCCTTCTCTCGAGGTTTGGGCAAACAGCTCGTCGTTCATGGATCAGTCTCAGAATCCTCCCCAGCACAGTATTCGAATAAACTATCAACTCAAGTTGTCAGGGAGGTGACATTCTTTGAAATCCTTCTCCAGCTGTGTCTATGGAACAATTCAGTGTTGGTTGGAGAATGTGGTGAAGACAGTGCTGTGTGTTTCAAAACCAGCAAGGGAGAGGCAGGTTGAGTTCCTGATCAATTGAAAACTGGTTTTGATCCCTCCACCTGTCTTTCCCAAGTGTCTGCTGAGGGCCAGGAGATATCGAGTGCAGGAACTCAGTGGGGCGGGGTTAGCAGGGTGACTTGTGAGTGCAAGAGTTTCCCTGGGTGCATTTGAAAGCCTGGATCAGCCACACGAGTTACCTCATAGTAAGCCCAAAAGCCAGCCTCGCGGGTGTAAGGTCCAGACGACCCGGCTCCAGACACTGGGGCACACACTGAGGTGTCGGAGGTGCTGAGTCGGAAGGTCCTCCCATACGTGGGGAAGCCCATGATGAGCTTCTCTGAAGGGACCCCGTTGTCTCTCCAGTATTTCATGGCATATTCCTGAAGAAGACAACAACGACATTATTTCCTCACCAGCACTTGTTACCTTTGAGTGACAATGTCGGTCATGGTTTCCTAATCAGAAAGCCTTAATACACAACCAAGGCTCTCCCCAACCCCTTCCCCATCTCCCTTTTCGATATGATTTCGGGCTCTTCTTTCTTACACAGTTGAAATAACGGAAGTCGCCTTGGTCCTTGGAGCCGACATGCAGGGGACTGTTGTGTCCTGTGCATGTGTCCCAGCCACCATGGAAGTCATAGGTCATCACACTGATGAAATCCAGCAGCCTGGAACAAGAGATTTTAAGCCAGCATGACACTGGGGGCATTTCTTATAAACTAAAGAGCAAGAGATAGTAGCAGTGGAAGCCCCTGATGTCAAGCAGATCTCCCTTTGGCCCTACTAATGGTGCCTCCTTAGGGGAGGAAGACACCACGGGAACTGGATGGTCTTTTGTAACTTCCATAGGATGGGACAGAAAGTCTCTAGCTTCCTCGGCACAGAGAAGACGTCTCCATGGCCATGGGAAACCCAGGTGAGTAGTTCTCCTATTGCTTTGCCAATAATAATGATCTCCATTTCACCGCATTTCTCAAAAGAAACTGCTCATGAGGATTGCTGTTACAAGGATTGACCAATGGTCTTGAAGCCTGAAATCTGTTCCTCTTCTGCCCACAGCCCACCCAACATTAGTGGCCATTTAAAGAACTCACGACCTGACCCCAGAGCCACCAACTGCACAGATCTCTGACAATGGAAGGGACCAGCATTCCCCAGTCCTGCCTGCTCACATAGCCATTGTTTGTGAGGCTGTCCTCCCACAAGGTTTGGCAGGGCTGCTCTAGGCTTTGAGAGCCCTGCACGGCTCCAGGCACTCACTTCCCAATCTCTGCGATTTCATATCCTGCATCAATGGTCCCTTTGCCGGCAGACACCGCTGCCGTGATAAGCAGCCGGGGGTTTCCAGTGTCTCTCGCCTCTTCCTCGAAAGCCTCGACCATTTCCTGAAGAGAGAGGAGGGTGGACTTGAGTGGCGTCTTCATGGTTCACTCCCTATAGTAGGTGCCTCCTGGGTTCGTTTCCAGTTTATAGCGATTCCCTCCTTTCTAGAAACAGCGTGCAATGCGCAGGAGCAGGTCCCAGCCAAGTTTAACTTGGTACAAAGAGAAACAGAGACGAAAAGCCACTGAGTCCAAATCACACTTAATAGCAATTTCAGGGGTGAAAGCTCAGTAACGCGAGGGGGCAGAAGTGAAAGGAGCCGCTTGCCCACTCGCTCATTACCTTCCCTTTGTAAGCCCTGGCTCCAACATTAACGGAAAAAGGTTCACCGATGGATGCATGTTTTTATCATTGTTTTTTCCCTTTCAGGATATGCTAAGCTCCTTCCTGCCTGGATCCAGGCTTTGCCAATACTGTTACCACTTCCTTAGGAGAGTTGTCGTCTCCTTCTTAGTGTGGCTGGACCCTTTCATTTTCTTCTTATCTCAGATGTCACTCCTTCTCAGAAGACTTCTTGACTATCCTAATGGCTTCCATCCTAGCTCTTATCACACTTTTCAGCTCTCTGATATATTCTGGCCGGGGGTGGGGTGGTAGGGTGGAGGTGGAGGGGTGGATTCTGTATCCTCCACTGCTGTCAAGCCAGCAGTAGGGGGAGGGACCATGCTTGTTCTGTTCATGGTTCAATGTGAAGCGCAGCTCCTGGGTCATACTAGGTGCTCAATAGATACTGAATAAATGGTTGACATAAAGAATGGCTCCTTCCCAATTCAACAATTTCTTCCTTGACTTCCTTCCGATACCTATGTCCTTCCAGTAAATTCTCTTTTAGCATATGCTAGCCAGACAGTCTATTTCCGTTGCTTGCCACCATCAGATCTCCTCAGTGTATTGTCTAAGGGCGGCACACTTTGGTGTCCCCAGGACAATAGAGAATCTGCTAATGCACTAGCGTCACCAGCATCCATTCTTACCTTAATCAGAATGGTAAATCGCTGCTTGTCCTCGGGTGGGCTTCCCCGAGACCCTGGGTATTCTATATCAAGGTCAATGCCATCAAACCCATGCTGACGAAGGAAGTCGATGACAGAACAGATGAAGATCTTGCGGTTGGCAGCTGTGGCGACCATGCTGGTGAATCTAGGCAGAGAGTTTGTCTATAATAACATCAGCAGATCCCCGGAATCCTCCCTATACCGTCTCTGATGCCAATGTTTATTATGCGCTTTATAATGCCTGCTGAATTTTTACCAATAACAAAAAGGAAACAAAGGTATTCAAAACTGTTCATGCTAATCGATAGATGTATTTTTATAATTATTTTTTCTCCAGTATATTTCATTTACAAAAACAAAATCACTGGAGGATGGGCCTAACTAGAATTTTAACAAAATTCAATAGAATAGTATCTTGAAATTTTATTTAAAACCTAAAGGGCGTAAATATATTATTTCCAGAATTAAGTATGACTTCTGATCTATCTGCATTTATAAGCATTTCTGACATCCAAAGAATGTATTACTATATTTATGCTAAGTCATATATTGGAAGATGCCTTACTATCTAAAAAATGTCAACTTAAATTTGAATTCTCATAACCCTATGAAGGAAACATCTTTCTTCCCTTTTTTAGATGAGGCTCTGGACTGCAAGGTTGGGGTTTCGAGGGCCCTCCGCCACAGCACTCACTGGTCTGTGTTTCTTCTTCCCTCCTGTAGATGTCAGTGTCCCCTATGCAGGTACCAGCCTCTTTCCCCTGGGGAAAACCCACCCTCACCTCCTTCTGGGATCATTTCCTACGCCAGCCGGAGGGACTCTATTTTGCCCTCCCTCGCATCCCCTGACATGAGGAGGCGCTTACTTCTGAGTGCCAAAGTTCCAGCCGCCAATGGCCAGCAGGTTGACGAGATCTCCATTGCTGCAGGAAGAGGCAAAGAAGAGCGTGTAAGAGAGACCCTGGGAGCGTGTGGGATGCAAACACTGGGGACACAACTCTTCCCTTCCCATTCCAAGCTGTGACACTCTTTGTCAACACCTACGGACTCTCTGGTGCATAGATAGATAGCTGTCAAGTACAACCTCTAACGTTCCCATGTCAAATACCTACCGCCCTCGCCCCCTTTGCAGACCTCAGTGCTTACATCACTTTTTATCACATGTCTCAGGTATCTGCTCATTCGTTTCAGAAAGAATCTACAAAGGATTTTGCATCTCAGAGTCTTAAGGCTCTTGAGAATGAAGTGGAAGCTGTCTGTAGTGGTCCCCCACACCCCTCTCCTACTCACTGTGCACGGGATTCATACTGACCGTTCTTTAAGGGCTCGGAACTGAGGATAGAGCACATCAATGTCATTCCATTCGTAGGGAGCTATCTTGTTGTCATTCATGGTGGCAAAGGCATATACCAGGTGTGTGCACAGACATGGGTCCACATCCTTGGGGAAGAACTTAGCTGGCTCTGGTCGGTACTGAGACCAGTTGGTAAAGTAGCACACTAGCTTATAGGCTGAGCCTAGAAGGAGAAAGCAGTGGTCATTGTGGCCCTGGGCTGAACTACCCGAGGGCCACCAGGGCTCCTTGGACGTAAGGGTTAGTGAGCTATAAGGCTGCTACAGGATGAACACTCCTCTCCCATGGCCGTGGAAGAATTTTAAACCTCTTTCCTAACCTAGAAAACTATAAAAATGTATCACAGTCAACAAATATATAAAATCAAATACCCATCCCAGAAGCAAGTGGTCAGGGATAGATTATGCTACCTAGATTCTAGGCATAGCTTCATCACAGACTAGTCAAGCTAATTATCAATAATAGAATATAAGGTGATTGGTGCTTTATTTAGAGGGTTTCCATTTATTGTGTTGCTAAAATTTTTAATTCTTATAACTCTGTGAGAGAAATTTTTTTAATTGTATTATGATTTGGGTGAAAGTTTCTGGAATTTTCCATTCAATAATTCATACACATCCTCTTTCATGCTACTGATTGCAATCTCCAAATGTAACAGCATTCCCTAAGTTTCCCATGTCCATTCATCTTTCCTTCCTATCCCTTTCTGACTTTCGTTTCTGGGGAAATTCTGCCCCTTTGATCTTGGTTGGTGGATTGTTCTCAGGAGGCGTTGTTTAATTTATAAAGACCTCTTTATTGTTTGCTTGTCCCAGAGGTGAGTTCAGCTCCAGTCTGAAGGGTGTCTAAGTGCAGTCTCTAGCTGACCAGTCAGCTCGGTCTTTTTAATGATTATGAGTTTTGTCCCACCTTGTCTCCCACCCTGTTGGGATCCCTTTCAGAGCCCCAGCAGGGGTCGCTGGGAACCAGCCAGCTCTTCTGGTTTCAGACTCACGGATGCTGAAGTTCCCTTGGGCCATGATTTCCTCTCACTTTTTATTTTCTCCGCCCTTCTTTGCTCCAGGCAAGGAGCGATCAATAGGTGCTCCTTCGGTAGCTACAAACTCTCAAGACCTCAGTTATTACTCAGGAAAGACAGTGTCCTGGTGAGTTATCGTGTGCCAATTAACCTGGATGTCCCCCGAGGTTATACTCTGGAGTTCCCATACCGACCTACTCATTCCCTCCAGGTGTCTTAATCACGTTGTCCCTTCTATGCTCTACTATATTCATAGAAATGCTTGCCACAAACTTGTGTGTAGAAATCCTGTCAAAGCTAGATCTATTTGTGAGTGTAGTCTCATCTACCTTCCCACACCCACTAGTCTGCATGTTTATTCACCCACTCCTGGATTCTCAGTGTGATTTCAGAATGGTCTGTGTACTGGTATTTACCTGTAGTGAGTTCAACTTAAGCTCTTCCCAATTTTTTCCTTCACCTTGATGTTTATCCTCATATTTAAGTGAGGCTCAGAAAAATTGACTTGCTCAGGATCGCAAGCTTCAGATTAATGTTCATTCATTTTTCTGCCTGGAACCTCAAATATTTATTCTCCATATCCTATTTTCAAGCAGTCTTACTTTGAAGTGCATTATCTTTCCACATCTTTCACTAGACTATCTTATCATTCTTCATATCCATAACTCACTACTCTAAATTCAGGGGGACAAAAAATGAGAACCTTTGGGGAAACAAAAAGAGACATCGGTAATGGTAATAGAAATGAATGTTGCTGCTGCTGCTGTTGTTGTTGTTGTTGGCGCAATCAAGTCAATTCCAATTCCAGCAACCTGCCACCATCTTCAAAGTCCTATGTTTGAGCCCATAGTTTTAGCCACTGTGTGAATGAATGCTGCCGATGGTCTTCCTCTTTTTTGTTGGTCCTTCACCAAACATGGTGTTTTCCTCCAGGGACTAGGCCCTCCTGGTAACACAATCAAAGTGCAGCAACACAAACAAAGTGCACCCTCAAGTCGTGTCATCCTCTCTTCTCAGGAGCACTGGCTACACATCTTCTGAAACAGACTTGTGTGTTTCTCTGAAGAATACTTTCAACATTCTTCACCAACGCCATAATTCAGAGACATGAATTCTTCTCTGGTCTTCCATCGCCATTGTCCAGTTTTCATACGCACATGACCTAATGGACAATACCATGGCTTGGGTCAAGTGAACCTTAGTCCTCAAAATGCCATCTTTCCTTTTTTAACACTTTACAGAAATCTTTTGCAGCAGATTGGCCTGATGGAATACATCATTTGATTTATCGACTGCTATGTCCCTGGGCATTGATCATGGATCCAAATCAAATGAAATCCTGGACCATTTCAATCTTGTCTCCATTGATCATGATTTACTTATTGGTCCAGTTAGGAATGTTTCTGTTTTCTTTATGCCGAGGTACAGTCTACTACAAAAGGCTGTCGTCTTCCATAATTGTCAGTAAGTTTTCAAGACCTCTTCACTTCCTGCAAGCAAAGTTGTCATCCTCATGTCGCAGATTGTTAACGACCCTTCCTCCCATCTTGATTCCAATATGCTCTTCCTGTTGTTCATCTTCTTGAATTTTGTGTCCAGACTGACTAAGCATAGTAGAAGGACATAATCCTGATGTACACTTTACCAGATTTTAAACCACACGCTCTCCCCTGGCTCTGTTTGAACAATTGCCTCTTAGCCTGTGAACAAGTTCTACATGAACCCAATTAAGTGTTCTGGAATTCCCATTCCACACACTGTACTCCATCATTTGTTATGATCCACACAGTTGAATGCCCTTTCATAGTCAACAAAATACAGATAAACATGTTTCTGGTATCCTCTGTTTTCAACTGGTCAAACAGAAACTGGTGGAGCCCCCAAGGATATGGTCACCTTTCAGATCTCAAAATGAACTCACTGCTATGGTTCAATTTTCAACCGAATAATTAACAAGTCTGTAAAGGGAGTGATAGCACTCTTGATGTGTGCATGCCTTAAAATATGGGATCATTTGGGATCAGGTGGGCAGCATCATTGCAGGACACAGTTAAGAAATGTTAGAAAACGGAGGCATGGAGACCGTAAACACAGTGGGGAGCTGGGGTGGGGAGTGTTAAATTGGGGGGATTGCGATGAATGAGAGTCTGTGTATCAATTTTTGAATGTAAAACTGATTATCTGCTCTGTAAGCCTTCACACACACACACACACACACACACACACACTCATTTAAGGGTCACTTTTCCACTCAGTACCTTGGTTTGGTTACACATAAAGTTAGGAGTTTGGCATTAACTGTTTTCTCTCAGCTCTGGCATCCTGGAATTCAGCTAAACAGGCTGGAGTCTTGGGGTGCTAGTCTTGGGTCTTGGGGTGCTAGTCTTGACCTCATCGTGGAGGCCGAGGGGAAAGCAGAGTTGGGAGAGGTGAAAGGAGGAGGATTAGCCTGTACATGGGAGGCGGTGGGACTCCTTACCTAGCTGCACGTGCAACAGGACAGCCAAACCTGAAACAACAATCAAACACAGAAAGTCATCTAACTTGGGAGACATACATGGCTTCAAAGGTCTAACAGATTTTAGAGCTTTGGGACCCTAACTCATCATTTCCGCCTTGGAACTCAAGTCCCACTGCTCAGAGCCTTGAGCAGAGCTTGAGAGAGTCTTATGGAGAAGACTCACTGAAGCAGATCTCTGCTCTCCCTCCTCATTCCCAGGGAGGCTCCCCACGACCAGTGAGAAAGAGGGACAAAAAAGGTAGGAGACTCACAGGCCCAGAGCAGCATCCTCCCCATCGTGCGTCCACTGGTGGCCTTAGTCAGGTTGTTGGCCCAAGCCTTTATAAGAAGGAGACCCCTTTTATCACTGTGGGAACAGCACAGCTGCTGCCTTATGACCACAGGTCCCCAAGGCTATTACACCCCCATCTCCACCCCATCCCAGATTCATGGGCGTGAGCAACTTCTACCCCAAGGTAAGAAAACCCAGCAAAGCCCCAGCCCCAGCCTGGGCCTGGCCACCACTGCCGGAGCCGCTTGTAGGCCAGCACTGAGAGCCAATCCCCTTCCTCCTGGGGACATGGGAGCCAAAGGAAGGAATCAAGGGTGCTGTGCTGGGATTTCAAGTTCCCAAGGCACAGAGCTTAAGTCCAGGAAAGGTCTTAAGGAGGCTGTGGAGAGATGATGGAACCTTCATTTAAGCATGTAATTTTCCCACTGTGGACCTGCCTCCACACACAAAACCAGCGGTCAGTCTTGGATTAGTGAAGGAACGTGACTAGACGCACTCTCTTCCCTCACGTGCTTTTGCGGCCAGAGCCCCAGAGGGGTGGAAGGGCAGCTATGGCAAGTATGGGGAGAGAGGCGACTCCATCAGAGAAATGTGGACCTTGTACCTCTGGCCCGTATCTGCTGGTTCTGGGCATCGTGGTGCGGGGAGGGGGGGAGGGAAAGGAAGGTGAACTGTAAAGAACATTGTGGCCTCAGAACGTGCTAAAACCCAACTCTTTAGGGTAAACAGACTGGACTAGAGGGGGCAGGGGGGAACCTGTGGCTGGGAGGGTGGCTCAGCGCTATGTGGAGGCAGGTGTTGCAGGTGTCAGGGCCTGTCTTATCTCACCTTGATGACCACAAGGCCGTAGATTTCTCCCTGCCAGCAGTTGTACCCCACCTGACGGGGACGAAGCCAAGCAGATAAGCAAGGACGCAGGTGCACGGGCAGCTGCCAGCGTTGGCCTGAAAGCAACGACTCGGACTTGGCCAAGAACTTCTTCCGTGAGCTTCTTTCCAACCTCTGCAGGAAGTCGTTGATTCATATTCCCCAGGGGCATGCTCCTCTTTGGATCTTTGGGACTTGACAGACACCAGGCGCTTGACAGAAGTTGGTTGAATAAATGGCTGGCTCAGTCCCGGTGTTGGACAATCTCATGGCTGAAGAACGATCAACCACCAAGCTAGTGAGATCTCTATTTGCTACCTCAACATTTAGCCCCTTACATCAGTAAGAAATACTTATTTCATGTGGCTTCCGTATGTCAGGAGTTCAGGAGTGACCTAGCTGGGTAATCCGGGCTTGGGTCCTCACGTGAAGTTGTTGTAGGACGTTAGCTGGGACTGCAGTCATTGAACGCTTGGCGAATCCTAAAGGACCCAGGAAGGTGGCTCCCTCACAGGGCTGGCAGGTTGGAGCTGTGTGTTGGCAGGCGGCTTTGATGCCTCATTTGTGGTGGGAGCTGGCTTCTCCCAAGGAAGTGACCCAAGAAAGAGTACTAGGGAAGTCTTCCTGAACAAAGTGCACATCATTTCACAATGCCTCGCTCACAAGACAGATCAGGCTGTGCATTTATCAAGCAAGGGTGCTTGTTTCATGCTGGAGGGGAGCACGCAAGAGCATGAATACCAGGGGGCAAGCATCACCAGGGTTGGAAGTTGGCTACCACACTGCCACAACAGCTGTTGAGTGTCCTTTGTGCTAAATACTGATGATTCAAACATTGATAAACACCACCCGTGCCCTACAGGAATTCAGAGATGATTGGGAGAGGTGAAGATATTGTGGGGTTCCGTGGGAACCCAGGGAAGGGACACTTAGATCTACCTGGGAGGCTCACTAATTGTCTCCTAAGTCTCTGACCAATCCAACTAGAGTTGGTTAAAGGTGTTCATATTTTATCTACTTACCTATTGCTCCGGGAGGCTATACGACTGGCAACTGGAGTGTTTCACAAATCTTGAATTGTATTACTATGCTTTCTCTAGACATGCTACCTCCCTCAGGCCTACCCTGATGGACTCACATCCTCAGTTTGCTGACTGGACTCCATCCACGTACTTTCCTGTCCCCCAAACTCAAGACGATGGCTCTTACCTGTAGGCCTTCTGTCAACCAAGTGACAAGTCCTCAAGCAATGGACCAATCTGCATCATTTAGAGCAGTGGTTTTCAACCTTCCTAATGCCGTGACCCTTTCATACAGTTCCTCAGGCTGTGGTGACCCCCAACCATAAAACTATTTTCATTGCTACTTCATTACTGTCATTTTGCTACCGTTATGAATTGGACGACCCCTGTGAAAAGGTCGTTCAACCCCCAAGGGGATCGTGACCCACAAGTTGAGAACCGCTGATTTTGATTAAATTAGAATCACCCCTCTGTTATTCTCCTTTGATGGTTACACTGCTTTAAAAGTTACACTGCTGTACAGAAGGACAGTAACCCAGACCGTGATCTTTCTCTGGAAAATGTGTACTCTTACGAACTACTTACAAATCAACCCTCAGGTCCCCCAAAGTCTCAGTCTTGCTACTTATCGATGTGCTTTGCCTTCAGGAGAACGTTTTTTTTCACCACTTTAGACTAACTTGAAATTTGTCCTGGAAGTTGTTCTGGTCCACTGGAGGCTATCGTCCACCTCCTGCTTCCATCATTGCCTGAGGAATCGTCGGTAGCCTCCCCTGCGTGAGCACCGAGGCACAGCTGCCCATGGACAAGACGTGGAAGCCTAGCACGCCACTTAAGAGATTCCAGTAGCTTAAAGAAGAAAATTTATATTTCTATAAATTCAAAGGTATTTCTGAACTTTCTATAATTTCCCATTAATAAATAAGTCTTCTAGATGGTAGTAGTCTATTTTGTAGAAAACGTCTTTATTAGTTTTCTTTTTAATAGCCCCTTGGTCATTTCACTAAGACAAGTTTCCTGATGCACTTCAAAATTAACTTGTCAAATCAAAACACACAACTGGCACCTTTAGAGTGATACATTTTAATGCAGTTAGACATTGATTTTTCCACTAGGGATATGATTTATTTCTGATGGCAACGAGAGCCACAAAGACAGGAAATTTGTGATATGTTCTCCAATGACTCCCAGAGCCTAACAGAATGCCTGGGAAATAAGAGCTGCTCAGTAATTATTTGCTGTCCCTTAATCTGCAGCAAGTGTACGGAACATGTTCAGAAAAGATTTAATTGTTTGCTAAATATTTCCCCCTCAGGGCCAATCATGAGAGTAACGATACCAGGAGGGGAGGTGGAAGGTGGGGAGAGAAAGGGGAAACCAATCACAATGATCTACATATCACCCCTCCCAAGGGGACAGACAACTGAAAAGTGGGTGAAGGGAGACAGTGGTCAGTGTAACATGAAAAATAAATAAAAATTTATAAATTATCAAGGGTTCATGAGGGAGGAAAGGAGGGAGAGAGGGAGGGAGGGAGGGAGGGAGGGAGGGAAGGAGGGAGGAGGGAGGGGGGAAATGAGCTAATCCCAAGAGCTCAAGTAGAAAGAAAATGCTTTGAAAATGAGGGTGGCAACATATGTACAGAGGTGCTTAACACACGGATGGATGTATGGATTATGTTCAGAGATGTAAGAGCCCCCGATGAAATGATTTTTTTAATGTGGAATAGAGTTCTATGACTCCAGGTTTTTAGGGAGACTATTGTTAAAAGCACTTTTACTGGCTTCTAAGATGATACATATAAGAAAGAGAATAATGCAAGTGATTGACCAAGCAGGGTTATGGTTCATGTATTTATTGAGTAAAAACAGACTCTAGAAAGGCTTCGCCCCGTCCGTTCCGTTCAAGGCTATTCAGGGCCAGTTGCAACACTTGCAGCTCTCATCAAACACGAGGCCCTCTGCACACCTTTTGGCCACAGTGTTACCATTGGCACACTCAAAGAACCTGGAGGGATCATCAGGGTCCCCATAGATGCCATCAGCTTTGCCTTCACAGAATGTACTGGGGGGTGTGGGCTTGGGAGGCTCTGGAGTGACGCAGCCTATATGCAAAATGATAGGTACATAAAACATCAGTTCATGAAGATCAAGGACCCCTCAGACATCTGAAGCTAGAAAAGTCCTCCCTACTTAATAAATTCAAGCCAAGCCATCTTTGAGGTTGTTATAGTTACTGTTGTCTTGTGCTATAGAGTCGGCTCTGACTCACAAGTGGTTTGCCCTTGGCTGGTAACCAAAAGATGAGCAGTTCAATCCCACCCAGAGGCACCACAGAAGAAAATTCACGCAACCTGCCTCGCTAAATAGTATCCTTAGAGCAGTTCTACTCCAAGGCACATTTGGAGTCATCCTAAAATGTCAGATAGGAGATTTTATTCACCGAAGATCAGGACAGAGTTGCAGGCTGCCATAAGATCGTTTGTTCAACGTGAAGAGAATTCTAGTTTTCACATCTTTCACTGGCAGGAATAGAAAAAATATCTGTAGTCTTTATTTAGTATTTGGAGTCTCTGGCTTAGCTGCTAATGAAAAAAGGGGAAGGTTCAAGGTCACCCAGAGTTGCTTTGGGAGCAAAAAAATGTCTGGGGATAAATTTAAAAATAATACTAATGCGTTAGATGATGGGGCACAGTTCTTCTCTGACATACATGGGGTCAACTGTGAGTTAGCAACCGGTTTACTGGATATTTCATTGTTTTGCTGAATTAGAGAACAACAGAACAATAGAATGACAGAGGACTTATCCTCAGATTCACACCGCCGGTCAGTCGTTTTTGTAGGTTACCATCTGGTCATGTGGGAGAGTTTGTATTTTCTAAGGTTGTATTAAATAAATTGCCTCAACAGCCCACCCCAAGGTCTCCGATGAGAAATTACTGAGTATTAGAAGATGTCTTGAGTCTCTACACTCAGGATGCTCCCTCTCGCGATTCATCATGTAACTCTTCTGTTCCGTGCCTGGGTGAGCCCTTGCATGATCTGCATTTCAGCTTGCCATGGACTCCCTGAGGTCATACCATTCACTCAAACGTGCCCCAGCTTGGAAAGTGAATATCCGTTGACCCTCGCTAGAAAACATGTCTTCTCTGCTGGAAGCCTCCAGAACGAAAGCCTCCAGAGCCAAAGAGCATGCCTTGGGTTTCTGCCTCCTTGAGAGTCCATGGAACTGGATCTGGCAGAGTGTGGGGTTCAAGCCATGCAGATGCATGCTTAATCACCTGGTGTCTGCAGCCCCAGCAGAGACTTGAGTTTGGAGATCAGAGGATAGGAACCCTCACTGCAGAAGTTTCCCAGGAAGTCATCCAAGTCAAGAGCCCAAACCATGGCGCCGCCGAACCCATTAGCCTTCAGAAATGTTACCTGTGATACAGAAGTATAAGCGATCAAGCCAATCCGAAGTTTTCCAAAATATTGTACAATTATTAAAAGCAGGGCGTAATAAGAAAATGTTTCTTAAAAAGAAACACACGGAAACAATTATACAACGACAGAATAACTTCACTTGTGCATGTTAATCTTAGTTTTGTGTATCTACCATCATTGTCTAGATGGTTACCACACAATATACAAACTATCTAGATTGTAGTATTTGTGGGGCATTGTTTGTCATTTGCCATCATAAAAAAATGAATATTTCTCATGTATCTACTTAATATTTCTAAACATAATTTTTAATGATTGAAAATCTGTCATAGTGGTGGATTAAAATGTCATGCCCCTTTATTCCTTGTTTTCATGCTCTGAAATCACAAGCAAGGCCCCAAAAAGTACCTGTACATATGTGTTTTGATCATACTACCTTTCCAGGAAAAAACATTCTAGAGTTGGAACTGGAAGCTGAAGGGTGTGGATATTTATCTCATTCCTGTTATATACACTTCTGTTGCTTTCTGGGAAAGAAGACCACCAAGACCTAGTCAAGGGGTCCTTTACATGCAACTGAAAGCCTGTTCAGTGTTGTGGAAACATCCTAAGCTCTGGAATGATACTGACCTATAAGCCAAATCGCAGTGTCCCTTTTACTGACTATATTAGAGAAAGTTAAAAAGTACTGCTACTTGAGTTTTAGATCGTACATGTGCAGGTTTATTCGAAACAGAATGAGCTTAAATTAGTGTGTGGCTGAAGACAAGCCCTCCCAGTAATACGTTCATCTTAGTGTTGGGGGAGGGGGGTCCTCCAAAAGAGAGATCCAGCCAAAAGGCCCGTTAAATTCACTGCCGAGAGGCCAACTCAAAAGGCTATGATGACTGCTTGGGGTGGGGGTGGGGGGTGATTCTAAAGGAGTAACCTTGGCAGATTTTCTCAGAGCACATAGAAAACCACAGGGGCTTATTATGAAGACATTTTAGGAAAACTGCATTGGTGAGAAAAAGGTCAGGAAATTGTGCCCAGAAGTCATTTTCCATCAAAGTATGCATCCACTCATTCTTCAAGGGCAGCAAGGGATCGCCTGTGAGTACTGCGTCAGGAAGCCTGCTCCACCCAACGGCAGCGCCGGCCTCTCCCTCGCAGACCTGTCTTCTGGTTCTCCAAAGGAGACTAGCGTTGAACAGGAACACAACCTGAGGCCTTTGAGGAGGCCGAACTTGCCATTTCTAACGTGGTGTCAATCAGAGCGCACGGAACTCTTTAGGGGAGTTCTCGTCAGAACTCGCCTCCGGAAGTGTAGAATAGGCCAAGAAATCATAACTTCGCATTAAAAAAATTCTCATTTAATGAAGGTTTCTGTGATTTTTAACAATATGTTTTTACTTACCTTCCTATATCCTAAGTAAACGACCCTCTTGTTGTGAAATTAGGGATTGTAATGCACACTTCATAGCACCAGCAACTGCCATTCGCTGAGCGCACGCTCAACATGCCTTCTTTTGTGTAATCCCGCCCGTAGACCCATCACAGAACTGAGTGGAACATGATATGAAAGAGCTGGCACATTGTAGGCAACCAATAGCTGCTTTCTCCTTCCACAGAACAAAACTGGACGTTTGCCATGGCTTCCCGAACTATTTCCTGCCCAGAGAGCCGTAGAGCGGGGTGCTGGCAGCTTCCAACCAGAATGTAGACCTTGATCTAAATCATGCATCTTCTAGTGCGTGTCCTCACAGGCACTGTCAGGGCCCCTTTAGGTTAAAACAAAACATCACCACCATGGAATTGATCCTGACTCAGCAACCTCATAGGATTGGGTGGAACTGTCTCTGTGAGGTTCTGAGACTGTAATTCTTTACAGGAATAGAAAGCCTTGTCTTCATCCTGAGGAGCAGCTGGTGGTTTCAAACGGCTGACCTCAGGGTTGACAGATCAGCTCGTACCCACTGTGCCACCAGGCTTCCAAGTGAACAATTTCAAAGTGCGAGAGTCTGAGGCTAGCCACTCCTCGCACACTTGACTTATTGGTGGTATGATTCGCTTTCATCTTGCCCTCTCTTCTCACCTTTTGAAGCTTCTTCCAGCAGCAGCATTTTATTCTCCATGGCCTCCCCCACCCCACCCCGCCCCACACATACACCAGAGGGCAGGGGTTTGGGATTTCTCTCCCCCTGACCAGCAGTGCAAGAGTGGGATTCTTCTTCTTGGACATGTTTAATTCTACCTCCTCTCTTATGAATGGATGGGTATGAACACGAATGATCACTCTCCTACACTCCCAGGCATGACTGACCTTCCTTTGCTGTACGTTCACGCCCTCTTCCCTAAGCCGGTCAGAGGAGCAACCATAGTCAAGAAGGCAGAAGTGGGCATGTGGTGAAGAAGTGGGAGGATTGGTAAGAGCCCGTGAAGAACAGTTTCCACGTAGATGCTGGCTCGCCCTCAGCTCCTAGATTTGTCTACAAAGAGCCCAAAGTGTGTGGGCTTAGCTATCAAAGTCATCTGGGCATTGGTGCTTTCCTGGGTGCCTGAGAAGATGCATTTGTGTTCATGTCGCTATTTGACAAGCACATAGGTAGCGTGCCTCAGGAATCATCCGCTTTTATTGCCTTGTCTTCCAGAGTAGGAAACGGAGGATGAGGAGGGGGAGTTGTTGGCTTAAAATCACACAGTGAGTCAGTGATCAAGCTCTGATTATAACTGGGGTTTCTCATCCATTCTGAATAAACAGTGTATATTCAGGGCAAAGGTGATGTAACATAATCATAAGTCCATGGCTGAAACTTACCTTGTGCTCATAGCTTTCAGCATTGTCAAACCCCACCCACTCATTTCCTCTGTAGGTGTAGGGGACCTTCTGGTCTTCAATCCATGAAGTGGTGGCTCCAGGTAGGAATGTGCAGATCTGATCAGAGGAACTCAAGTTAGCAAAATCCTGAGATAGTATAAAACTTTACTAGGTGAATATTATTCTTAAATAGTCGCATACTGGCAATTGTATTGTTGTAAAAATCAAAATTTCCTATATTTAACTCTTCGTACCCTTGTTTCCTCTACCTGGGCTGCGAGCGCCATGATGTCTTATTAGGGTTGGTGCCACCTAGGGAGCTAACTTAGAATGCTACTTCCCTAATGGGCCTCCTCCCATACCACATTAGACAGCGTCCTTACTATTGTTTATTATCAAATTTAATCACAGAATAATATAGGATTGATATCGTTGTCATGAGTTTCACCTTTCTTCTTCGTAAAATCTGGCTTCTCTGATTATTTGCTCAGCATTGAATTGAATTGTATGGTGAATGAATAAATAGAGTGAGAGAATACACCCTGATGCCTGCCTTTCCTGATTTTAAAACATGCGTTGCATTGCATAAATCTGCGGCACAGGACCTCTTTCAAGAGCTGAAAAGAAAGGATGTTACTTTGAGGACCAAGGTGCATCTGACCCAAGGCATGGTATATATGCATGTAAAAAATGGACATTGAATAAGGAAGACCAAAGAAGAATTGATGCATTTGAATTGTTGGGATGGTAAAAGATATTGAAAGGATGGAATGCCAAATGGGCAAACAAATCTGGAAAGAAATACAGCCAGACTACTCCTTGGGAATAATGATTGTGAGACTTTGTCTCACATACTTTGGATGTGCTGTCAGGACAGACCTGGAGAAAGACATCATGCTCAGTCAAGTATAGGGGCAGTGAAAGAGGAAGACCCTCAGCAAGGTTGATTGACAGCGCCTGGAGCAATGGTGTCAAACATAAGGACAGTTGTGAGGGTGGTTCAGGACCGGGCAGGACTTCATTCTGTGTGCACAGGCTTCTGTGAGTTGGAACCGGCTCAATGACACCTAACAACAACAACATAGTTGTATGATGCTTAAATGTACTATTTCTTAGACTATGTGAATCTTAACAAAAAAAATTTAGTCAAATCATTCTACATTTACTACAGCATTATTAGTTGCAACATTATTCATCGCTTAAACTTTTTATCTCTCCGTTTCCTTTCATTACTACTTCATTCTCAAAAGTTTCTTGATATTGCAGGGACAGTGAATTATTTAATATGGCTCTCCTAACCAAAGTCTCAAACTTCCACCAACCAACCTTTTCTTGTAGAGGTCTTGGAAGAAGGTGGGAGGAAGATACGGAAAGGACTCTCCTACGAGCCATGATTTACAGGATTATTGGATTACTATCCTGCTATGTATAGAACGATCCCTCTCGGAAGGAGAAGGAGAGATCTCATTGCCAGAAAGATCCAGGAGTGGAGCATATTCTCTGGACCCAAGATCCCTGTGAGGTGAACCTCCTGAATAGAGATGACAACGATACCCTCAGAGGCATAGCAGCAGAACCAGGGGACAGAGCACGGAACAGGGCGATGGACTTTTGTGCAGGAGGCTGGCTTGCAGAGTAGGGTACCTCCCGGTACTTAATTGGGAGAGTTGGGCTTGCTGACCCATGGAGCTTGAGCTGAATGTTTACTAGTTGAGACTTACAGTGGAGTGGCCACTTTGGAGATTTTTGCAGACCTGAAAAAACTTTGTATCATGTCATAAGAAACAACTCAACTCTGAGCATTTCTCACTGGCATTACCTTTCTTAATAAACCCTTTCATTGTGAATTGTGTCTGTAAGTTCTGCGTAGCCATTGCAATGAATATTGGAACCCAGAGAGGGAGTACAGAGAATATTAGGGCATCACAAATATAGGTTGATCAATGCTATTTACACAATATTGTAGGTAAAATGACAGCTAATTTGACAAAGTAAAATATTACAAAATTAACCGCAGCAGCATGCGTTGATACTACAAGTAGACAAAACCACGTGACTCAATGTGTCATGAGAGTTGAATATTAATGACCAGAGCACATTAGAAGGTCCAAAAGTAAACGAACACAGAGGTAGATGTATTGATACATGTAAGCTAGGCTTACAAACAAAAGTTTTTGTTGTTGTAGGTAACTAGGGATATTTTTATAAAAATTAATAAATATCTGCTGAAATTCTACACAACAATTTTATACATTAAACTTAGTGTCACCTGGGGTGACCTGCACTCCCCACATGCCTCCTATGGATGGCACTGTGCATGAGAGCAGGAGCTGTGTCCTGGGTAACTGAATGCCCGGTGTCCAGCATGGCGCCCAACATATGTATCCAAACGAGAAGCAAAACCATCGCTATCGAGTCAATTCCAACTCACAGCAAGCCTAGAGCACAGAGTGGAAGTGCTCCTGAGGGTCTCTGAGACCACAAATCTGTACACGAACGGACAGCCTTGTCTTTCTCCCACGGAGAAGCTGCTGGGTTTGAACCACCAACCTCGCTGTTCGTTAGCAGCCCGCTTCCTAATCCATAGCATCATCAGGATACTTTTGACATGTAAGTGCTCAATTATCTTGGACAGAATTAGAAGTCGCTTGAATGTTATAGAGAACTCACAGAAGAATGTCCCTATTTCTCTCATGGCTGTCT